AAATATCAATAAAAAATCATTTGAAAATAGCTAAAAACTTAAAAATCTCTTGAAACGGTACAATTCGGACGACTTTACGAGCCTTTGATCCACCTTAAAGGTACAACAGCTCGGAAAAAATTATGGATCCGTCACTGGTTGTAAAAGTTATATAAATATTCAATTTTGTTTTCTACATTCATTGATTTTAATAAGGTTGAATTTCGGTGAGACCAACCATTTTTTGTGAGATTGTTGTGAAGGTTTGATGTTTGGTTTTTGTGAATGTTTGGTGTATATTTTCTATGCAACTTTTGAGTGACAGATAAAAAAAGTTACATTTCTAAAATGCTTTTAATAAAGGTATGGTTTAAATTTTCAAACTTGTTGCCTAACTAATTTTGATTAGTTTTAGGCTCCCAAAATCCATTAAAAACCACATTTATTTTTAAACTTATGCATTACGTATTGATATTTTATTGAGCAATGAAAAGTTTGTTACCGATAACTCTAACTGTTCTTATATATATATGGTTGGGTTCACATGAGACCAAAAGTTTTTCGTAAGACCCGTAAGACCAATTTATGTTTATTGATCAACTTTATAAGCTAATGATCTAATGGTCTAAAGTTGTACGGTGACAATTTTGTGATTATTGAGAAGTCTCGTGACAATTTTATGATTATAAATGTTTAGATTGTAGATCTAATCCAAGAGTTGAGAATTGATCTTATGGGTCTCAAGAAAAACCCTTGGTCTCACTCTCACATGATCCCAAGTCTCTCTCTCTCTCTCTCTCTCTATATATATATATATATATATATATTAAAGTATTTGATAAAAATTCTTAAAAATCATTTTTATGCATAAAATATTGTTTATTAATGCATATTACTTAAAATTCAAGATTACAAGTAGATTGTGTGTAACTACAACTTATTAAAGCTTTATGTTTGAATTCGTGTAACTAACTGCAAATAAACATAATTAAATACATGATAAACATCTCATTTTAATTATAAAAAATCTAAAATATAATTAGGATAATCATTGAGTTATAACAAGATACTTAGTTGTTATATTATAAAAAAAATTATATTATTAAACCAAATATTATATTATGTTATTTTTTCAAAATTTTATGATATATTCAAAATTTTATTTTATTCAAAAATAAAAAAACATTATCGTTTTCTTAAAACTACATAAAATCGTATTCTGACATCGATACAGATAAAAATAAACGAAATATTAAGATCAATATGTATCTCGTTATATTACACGAGTAATTTTCTAATATATATATATATATATATATATAAATGTTACGAAAACTTTTCTTAAGGTTTGTAGGACGACGTTGCCATTAATGAGAGGGAATGTGGTAGCTTCAATGCCAATTATTGAATGAAAGTTGTCGATACCTTAAAATCTATTCATGACTTTAATGTTAACCAAAATACAAATGAAAAATCACTACGATTATTTTAATAAAACTTGATTAAAAATTAGGAATAAAATTAAAAATATATTATGATATGTGGACAAACTCATTTAATTTGATAAATGAAATGTAGAATTGAAGGCGGAAACGAAGGTCACTCACTTGGGTACATTTCAAATCTCGAGGCATATTTCATTACCGTTTCTTATACTGATTTCAAAACTTTATCGATGGTGTTGTTGCCACTGGTAATACAAAATGGGGACTGACTTCTTGCGTTCTTAGCCTGATTGTTGAACATTTCATGCAGGGACGAACCTAGTATAGTGGTTACCGTATTATTCCTCCGTCGAATGGTAAAAAAAAAAACTAGGTTCGTGAAAGGTGCAACCGTATTAATTTGTTATGTGTCACCGTATGTATTTTAAAACTACAATGAGAACAAGTTATATTTGGTATAGTTGGTTTGCAAAACTTTTATTTTATCACATACCCAAATTCGAATTCTTAGTCAAATGGTGTCATCTTTTGAAAAAATATTCCATATATTTGTTTCTTATAGTCAAATAGTGACTTTCCCTGTATTTTGTTTTTATAGTCAAACGGTGCCATTGTTTGAAAATTTTCTGGATCCGTCCCTGCCTTTATAGTTAGCAACGACGAAGAGAAATGTACGTTAGATGGACAACAAACATTATCACCTTCCATTTTAACTGTTAAATGGGTAACAAAAACCTAAAATAAATATGTAGATATGTATATTAAATTAAAGATTATAAAATTCTTATTTTTTTCATCATTTATTTAACTTGAAGTTTTATTATAATTAAATATTCTAAATTTAACTATTAACATATAATTAATTTAGTTTTATTAATGGAATTTTGGACGAATATAATGATAAAGTATTAGTAAAGATTAATAATTTTGGAGGCTAATCAGTGATGTTATTTTACTTACGGCCGTTTATCAAACACTTATACAGGTAAATACTTATCAAGTCACATTAGCTTACCAGATGAATATGTTAATGATCAAGAATCTAACCCGGTAAAAACGGGGCAATGACCAAGAATCTTATTCGGTAAGTGAGGGCAATAACTCAGTATTATGTGCTGGCGTGGTTATGACTTGGATTTTATCTAATCTAAAATTAGTCTTCAACCGGTTATCTGGGTAATTAAATGTTTAAAACTTTACACCTTAAATACCAAAATAAAAGTTCTGAAAATACATTACCTAAAATAGGAATCGAATTAAAGTATATTACTTTTTTCATGCAATTTACCCTTTTAAAATCAATATTTCCGCTTCTAAAATAGATGACTTCTTATAAATTTTAACATAAAAGAACTCAGTTTAATATTTGTTTATCATTTTATAAAAAAGTTAAAATATTCACAATCTGTTATTCAGTGTTACAAGAAAACTACGTTCACCATCGACTTAAGGAATAAGAGATGAATTAGATGGTCAATAATGGTGTGATCATACCACGTTACGAGTCTAATAACAAATGTTCGAATTAAAATAATCAAACCTATGAGTTGAATTATTTTAAGTATTTAATGATAAAATTATTGGATTTATAATAACATAAAGTTTTAAGTAATTTATATATATTTTTTAATTATTGTCATCAAAAAATTATTTTTTATATAACACTTATTTAAATAATAATAATAAAATATGTTACTTCTGTTATGTAGCTTAGTTAGCAAATAGATAGAATGATTTTACTTAAATACAAGACTGATTTCAAGATCAATTTCAAATCTTTAAGCTTTAGGGACTGTTTGACAGTTGCTGAATGACTTGGTGCAAAATGATTAAATGGTCAGAATGATTAAGAGGCTCTCATGATATAGTGCAAAATGAATTATAATTGTTTGATAATTATTTACAATGAAATTAGAGCGTTGAATGGTTAAAGGATGTTCATGATGCAAAATCATTCAAAGGGTTTTAGAACCATTAAGAGGCAAACTTTTTTTTCTGCCAAACAAGATTCATCTCTTAACGATTCAGAGACTGACTCTTGATAAAACTACTAGTTGTGTACCCGCGCAATGTAGCGGGAGCCATGAATTTTAACGATTTTGAAGTTCCACTGGTTTTATAAGATAAGATTTAACGATGATATATGTTACACTTGGTCTTTACATATTTATACAATTTGAATAAATAAGAGTTATGATTCCAATTACAGACTATCGATGAAAAAAATTGCATGACAGTTTAAAATCCAATATATTTAAAATCCAATATATTTAAAATCCAACATATTTAAACGACTCCACAAATGTATTCGATTTACACCAAGAGCAAAAAACCAAGAAACTTGAGTTTTAAGATAAACACTCAAAACCAATAAAGAAAACTACAAATTTGACAGATCATAAGTCATGAAAAGACAAAAAAAGATGGGTTTTAGAATGAAATTTCAACTGTTTACCATTTTTCTTGTTCAGAAACTCAGATTAAGGTTGAATTAATACATGTATATATATATATTTCAAAAAAACTCAAGAACATATTAATACAAAATATATTATACAGTGCAAGCCTAACCCAAAAATATATAATATATATATATAAATAAATAACTATAAAAATATAAATCATAAATATTATTTATTTTTTCTTCATAATATATATAATATATAATAATATAATTAAGTAAAAAACTATTCAATATTGGACTCATTTCGAAGATATTAACGAGACGATTATAATGATGTAACTTGTTAAAATRAAAATGTATTTTTTGAACATGTTTTAATTGATATACGATTATGTATGTTAATTTGATAAATGTTTAAAATGAAACATTTAAAAGTAAATGATGTAATGTAAATTAATTAATTAATTATAAGAGTATAAAGTGTAAATTTAAAATTATAATTTAAAAAAAATCGGTTGTGAGAGGGTGAGTGTATGTGAGAAAAGAGGGGGTGAAAAAGTTAATATAAATTGTATTTTGATCATTTAAAATTTTAAGACTTTTGCTAAATTTATTTAATAAAATAATATAAATTAAGATGTAAACAAACAATTTCTCAAGTGAGTAAATAAATGCCCACATATATTAGTGTCCTAAATTCCATTTTTACCATAAATCTCAAGTCCTTTCTTACTTTTCTCGCCGCAAATTCTATTTTTTTAAAGTGAAAATCAACCCTAATTTAATTTGTTACAAAATTTCAACCTTAAAAGCATTTAATTTTTATGCTTTTATGGTAGAGAATCACTATCCGAAAGCGTCGACTCTAAATCGCAGACCGTACAACCCGAATGTTACCGAATCATTTACCAAACGGTAAAACCAACAACCACAGTAAAAAAAAAAATCCACTAATCTCACTCATGGGTGCATACTTACTTCATCCCACCGACGGCAAAAACTAACCTTCTCGACCTATCTTCGCCACGTGGCGTCCTCCTACCCCAAAAGCACACATCCTTGGTCCCACCACTCTCTCTCTCTCCTCAACTAAAAAAACCCTTATTCCCCCTCTCTCTCTCTCTCTCTCTCTCTTCCTTTCTCTCTCATCGCCGTCGTTACGCAGGCGATATTTTTTTTTCTCCTTGCGAATTTTATACTGAAATTATTAAATCTGATTCGCCATGAATGTCATCTGCATCCAATCCGTGAAGGTTTAGATCATCATCATCGGCTGATTTGCATTCATTGCCGCCTGATTGGCCTCGTGATTCGTGAAGATTAAGTACGATTTTCTTTTCTAGGTAAACTAACTAGCTACCACTGTGATGTTCTGAGGTTTGTTGAATTCAGCTCTGATTTTAGGCGTTTTGATGGCAATGCAGCTCTTGTTGTGCGACTGATCGATACGGAGAGGCATTGTTTTTAGTTGTTTGAGTGATTTGTTGGTAATTGTTAGGCGATGTCTGGACCACTTGATCGATTTGCGAGGCCTTGTAAGTGTATAATTCGTTTGCTTAAGGCTGTTGCTTGATGCTTTTGAAATGTGGAATTGTGAATTACTTATTTTGATGCGAATTGCGTTTGATTGAATCGAAATTGTGTTAGGTTTTTTTTGGGTGAAAAATTAGGTTTTGCTAAAGTTCGGTAGCAACATTTTTGGAATTTACGTGAATTACTTTATGAGTATGAGTTGCGTTTTGTGCTCCGCCAGGTGATGTTGCTTAATTAGGGTTGTTGACTTGTAATGATCTCAGGGGCATGGGATATGGTTTAGGTCTTGTATTATCTTCTTATAATTTGATGTCCATGTTGACATGACTTGGGATTCCTTTGCCTCAGTCTCTTTATGTTTGAAAACCCAAGATTGTGGTCAATGTTTATTATTTTTCTTGGAGGATTATGATTTTCAATTTTTGCTGCTTTAGATGTTCCAGTTCAGATGATAGTGTATCTGTGTATGCGCTATTATTGGAAGTAAGGCCTCACTAATATTTGGGCCAGGGTATACACTTTGATTTTTCATTTTTTTTTGTGCCTTTGTTGAGGATTATATCATTATTGTTTGTTCTTCTTTCTTTTTGTTTATTTTCATTGATCTTAAATCCCATTATAGACCAGTTAAATTGATTGGTAGTTACAATACATAGATTATCATTTATTAAAGAAACTTGGATTCAAGAATGGCCAGGAATTCTTGACAAATTGAGCATCGGATGTTTGCACATGTATTTATGCTTGGTGACTTATTATCTGTTTACTTTTTTCCTGCAATATATACTTGTACTTGATGGGAAATTTCTGCATTTGCTGAAAGGCAAAGTCATATAGACAGTTGCGAACTCCAGTGGAAGCTTTCCTTAATGCATTTGAATAGATTTTTCTAGAAGAAAATTATGAGTTGTATTAAAGTTGAAACTTCAAAGGAAGTTGAAGACGATACTGAGATTGCTTTCCATGATTTGATGTAATAGACTAATAGCCTATCGGGTAGTCCATTTGAGATAGGATCTAAATCACATAAGATGTTTTACTGTTGATTTGCAAGTTATGAAAATTCTCTGCCCTATATTTTCATTGTTATCTAAATCGTAACTTATGCTAGTCATTGTTTAAGCCATGAATCAAATGTCTAGTTGTTTATAGGATTATTTGGTTTATTGTGTACAATTATTCATCTGGTTCTGCTATCTGAATTCATATGCTACCATTGCTTAATATCTCAAAAGGTTTCTGTCACTGACACTGAGGTGCCAGAGAAATACATTCTTACGCATTAGTTACTTCATAGGTTTTGAGGGGTCGTCAGGTAATGATGAAAGATCAGACAGAAGAGAACGAAGGTCTGATTTTGAAAACTCAGAGGATGAGAGGAGGACAAGAATAAGTTCGTTGAAAAAGAAAGCACTTAATGCATCTAGCAAGTTCAAACATTCACTCAAGAAAAAGAGCAGTAGGAGAAAGAGCGATGGTCGAGTCAGTTCTGTTTCTATCGAGGATATTCGAGATGCTGAGGAACTACGGGCTGTTGATGCATTTCGCCAAGCACTAGTTTTGGATGAATTGCTACCAGAAAAGCTTGATGATTATCATATGATGTTGAGGTACTCTAGCTCCTGGCTTTTCAGTTTTAGCTTTAATGTTTTCTAAATGAATATTGATCAGAACTGGAACTAGCAGGCATTCGTCATAGTTTATACGGTTAAGCTGCGTGATAAGAAAGTTAGTTCATTGATCCCTTGATGCACATGTTAATTTCTCTGTTGTGGCATGGCCATAACACTTGTGAATTAAATCATAGAAATTGATGCTAGATATCATGGTTGGTTACAATACTTGCATTCTACAAAATTTGCAATCGGAATAGAAAACACCAGTAACATTTGAGGCTTGTTATGATTCCAAGAAAGCGTCGAGTTTCTTGGAGCTTACTGGCTCACATTACCAGTATTATCATGATGCTTCTGAGCATAGCAATGACAGCTGTTTATTATTCTATGCCAATCGTACAATCAGTAGTTCCTCCATATGCAGGCAAATACAGCTAGTTTCTTTTCCTTTCTATTGTGAAAGACGGATGCTTTTTTGATTCTTATATTTACTGACCGGCCCCTGTAGGCTGTAAGTTCTTCACACAAATTTGTGTCATCTAAGGTGAACCATCATTAGACTTATTGTAGTTGAGGATGAAATAGTTAATAGCTTAGATATGTTAATATACTGACTGCCACGCTGCATTAGTCTACAACCTCACTTGTTTTGAAATCTGTCCAAGTTTAAGATTGATGTTCTATGTCTATTAGGTTTCTGAAAGCAAGGAAACTTGATATCGAGAAAGCAAAGCATATGTGGGCTGATATGATCCATTGGAGAAAGGAATTCGGTGCTGACGCAATCATTGAGGTGATTAGTTCCTGGAATATGTTTGATAAGTTTGCTTTGTTTTTCTGTAATATGTTGTGACTAAGTTATATTCATAATTTGGCATGCCATCCTTATCTCCCATCTACTATCTGATTTGGTGTTCTATTTTACTGAAATCTTATCAGGAATTTGAATTTAAAGAGTTGGAAGATGTTTTGAAGTATTACCCCCATGGTAATCATGGAGTAGACAAAGAGGGAAGGCCTATCTACATTGAAAGATTAGGGAAAGTTGATCCTAACAAACTCATGCAAGTTACAACCATGGATCGTTACATAAAGTATCATGTGCGCGAGTTTGAAAAAAGCTTTGCTTACAAGTTTCCTGCTTGTTCAATCGCTGCAAAAAAGCACATAGACTCAAGCACAACCATTTTGGATGTTCAAGGCGTGGTATGTTACCATTGTGCAAATCTGTATCCCGAAATGGATGCTGGTAGCCAGTTATATGATGGTATGGTGTGGACTAATCAACATTTTGTAATATTCCAGGGATTGAAAAACTTCACCAAGAGTGCTCGGGAGCTCATCATGCGGCTCCAGAAAATTGATGGCGATAATTACCCTGAAGTAAGATCAGTTCTTAACTAATCAATTGCATCGAGCTCTATGTATCATATTTTTTGTTTTCTAACTAACATTTTGATGTGACGAATTTCTACAGACACTGCATCAAATGTTTATTATCAATGCGGGTCCTGGTTTTAGATTGCTTTGGAATACTGTAAAGTCATTTCTGGATCCGAAAACAACTTCAAAGATTCATGTATGTTGATACGGTATCCTTGCATATTGTTTAAAGGAATTGCATGTTTACTTCATAAGCTTGTTAAGAAATGTTTCTGTTAATCATTGTTCTTCTGTTTTGGATCTCTCAGGTTCTTGGAAACAAGTACCAGAATAAATTGCTTGAGATTATTGATACCAGGTAGCTCATTTTCTATATATTTGCTAATTACCATACAACAGAACTATATTTTTGAGTTCCTTTCGATGAACATAATGTATATGGAAAATACATGCATATTATATGTGTGCATTTGTATGTGTCTACACATGTACATATTTCGTAGGAAATGGTATTTGAGGTATCCACCCGTATTGAATAGGGATTAAGAGGTTTTCCCTTACACAAGCCTTGTGTGGTCGATCCAGAGCATCCTGCATGCTGTGTGTGGGAAGGCCTCATCCTACAAGCACTATTTATCATGCAGGATGCCTCAAATGCTATCCCTTGCACGTGTATATGTATGAGATATCGCCCATTATACTGCAATATGGTGAGCATAGCCATGTCTGATGAAAGATACCACCTTTTTACTTATAACGGAACTATGTCCAAAAAATTTGGAGAGCTGTGCAGTGAATTGCCAGAATTCCTGGGTGGCACCTGTACCTGTGCAGATGTTGGGGGTTGTCTTCTGTCTGACAAAGGGCCATGGAAAAATCCTGAAATATTGAAGGTTCTTATGGAGCTCTAAGCACTTCTATTTTTTTGCTATCTTTTATACTCATATCATTGAAGTTTTTATCTTTATCGTTTTCTCTTCTTTTTTGTGTGACTGAGACTACCGTTCTGGAACTTTGTTATGCAGTTGGCTCTTAATAGTGAAGCACGACGTGCCAGACAGGTGGTTAAAGTTCTAAATAGTGAGGGAAAAATTGTTGCATATGCTAAGCCTCAGTTACCCATGGTTAGACACTTTGAACTGTCGTTCTTTGCTTTGCTGTGGCTGCACTATCTTTCCCCAGCAATTGTTGAAAACTCTTTTGTTATTCTTCTGAGCAGCTAAGAAGCAGTGATACATCCACTGCCGAGTCAGGTTCAGAAGCAGAAGATATTGCTTCCCCAAAAGCAATAATGAATTATTCCCATCTTAGGTTGACTCCAGTTCGTGAAGAAGTGAGTGTTTCAATTTTTTCCTTTTGTGATCACTTTTTCGTCCTTGTAAAAAGTACAACTGAAATCAAACCTAAAGTATATGTCCCTTGGAAGTTGCAAAAAGTTTCCATTTTGAACAGCAATTTCCAGCCCATGGAAATTCCAACATTCCTTTCTTTGGCAATTTCTGAGTTTAAGTTGCTATCAGCACTGTCATGATCATGAAAGTTGATGGCGCGGTCACAAGATTCCCAAATTTTATTGATATATAAGACATTTGACTAATGGTCAAACACTCCCCTAATCGTGTCAAGTCTAACTTTGCCATTTTCATAGGATGGATGGAGTAGAATTAAAATCTCACTCAATAAAATAACATCAAATTTAAAAGAGGAAAGTATGAGAAATGAGTTATTCAGGTTGGAAATACTTAAAATTTAAATTCTTTGCTTTTGTTCAGCATTATCCTTTTATCAAGCATAGCATTAACTAAAGTTACAAAATTCCTTCCTTTATGATGTCTGAAAACTGCAGATACCCCTTTGTCCAAAAAAAAAAAAACCCTGCAGATACCCTATTTGGTTTCCAATTCAGTTGGTTCCAAATTCGAAGTGCATATTATCTTTTGTTTATATTATTCTTTTGACAACTAACCCATGTTTTTTCCTGTGGTATATAGGCTAAGGTAACTGGAGCTACAAGTTATGTTGGCCAGTTTTCTGGATATGACGAGTATGTTCCCATGGTTGACAAGGCTGTTGATTCTGTATTGAAGAAGCAAGCTTCAATGCCAAAGCCTTCTATTCCAAGAGGTTAGGGATGTGATTTTTGTTACTCCAAGACCGGTGTACTACTATTTTTCTGCTGATGTCCAAGGTTTCCTAAGGGTACATTTGGTAATTGGTACTTAGAATAGGACATGATCGGATAATACATAAACTTGTTGTCCCATGTTTGGTGCAACATTAGACTTGGAAAGGGCAGGACTTGAGTGGACAAAAATCCATTTTTTCTCATCAAAATAGGTGGAACAAACATCTGGGAGAAGGGACAAGATTGGTAAATTACTTAACTACACATGTCAAATGGAAACCCTAAAACCTTCCACAATGTTTTCACCTGCCTACCTCACTCTCGCCGATCTAGTCCGCTCCTGTCCGGTCTAATCCTGTCGAGTCCCATCTACGTACCAAATGCACCTAAGGGACCAACTTTTAAAAAAGAAATGGAACTCCACAATTATGCTAAAATTGTGAATTTGATGCCTCATGCGTGAAGATTAATTGATTCTATTTGTCGATACAGGGATACCTCTCGAATCTGCTGCTCAGAAGGCACCAGAAAGACTATATGCTAGAGTCTTCGTGTTTCTTATGGCCTTCTTTGTTACCATGTTCACACTCTTCCATTCGGTGGTGAATCGTGTGACTAAAAAGCTTCCTTACATCTCATCTGAGGATGCCCAAAACACTCCAAACTTGTCCTTAGATACGTCAACCAGACAAGAACTCCACCCTCTGTCCCCAACTCCTTCGTTTGTGGAGGCAGAACTTGTTTCTTCTGTTTTAAAAAGACTAGGTGAACTTGAAGATAAGGTTGGCACACTCAAAGCAAAGCCATCTGAGATGCCTTATGAGAAAGAGGAATTGCTAAATGCTGCTGTTTGCCGTGTCGATGCCTTGGAAGCAGAACTCATTGCTACCAAAAAGGTAAATGCACATGCCAACTTCCTTTTAACGGGCTGATAGATTAGCGGTGTGTAGCTTCCATAAATTGCTTTGCTTGTCTTGTACCTGCTTCTATTCGTATGTTATTGCTTACTCTTAGCCTGCTTTCCAAAACCTTATCGTATATGACTTTGGGTCTGTTTGGTAGCAGCTTAATGAGCTTAACGACACTCGTAGCTTTTTCGGTCTGCCATACATGACTGTTTGTAGTGTCTAAAATGATATAGAAAATGGCTTATTCAATTAGCTTTTATGGAGAGCTTTATGCAGAAAGCCGAGTTTTTCTAAACCTGCCCCTCCCAATTAAAAAACATGCTCCTTCCATCTATGAAAAAACTCTCCCAAACAAAAACCTTCTTAATCCATACAGACAAATTAATCTACACAGACAACTTAATTATAGGACTTTATGGAAATCTAACCAAACGGCCCCTTTCTCTTTTTGGCACATTCTCACAAGCCGGGGGTCTTCAGCGGAAACAACTGCTCTACTCTCCAGGATAGAGATCACTTATGTGTACATCTTACCCTCCCTAGAGCCCACCTTCAGGTGCGGTATATCAGGTTCGTTTGGTTTGGTTACAAAGGGCTGATAGATTCTATCACATAGATGAGAATAAATTATGGTTCCTACAACTCGATGTCGTGATGCATAACCTTGATGAATAAATGAAGTCCATAATACAATATACATTAACTTTTCTATTTCTAGTGTTTCCATGTAATGCGAGGACATTGTTCACCATATTGGTGGCTACTATAGTTATAAAATGTAATGATTCTAATTGGATGAAAACTGATAAAAGATTATCATACGATAAGCAGCAGGTATTTATTGGCTCATGTCGGATTTTGTATAACCTTATGTCATTTCTCATGCAAAGTATATGCTGCACACAAAGACTTCCTTCCCCAAGCTTTGCAAAGCCGAGGATCCTTTGTTCAATGCATGAAAAAGATCATAAAAGCAATCTCTTTTCGGAAAGGGAAGAGGGTGTACAATATAGTTACTTCTTACAGGTTTTAAGTTATGGAAAAAAAAACCTTTGGAAAATGCATGGGAGGCCATAAATGCTATAAGGAGAATGTATACGCCTGCCCTCATGAACCCTTGTGTTGTTGAAGCAGCACAAATTGACGTGTTTTTTCACGATCCTCTCACCTTTTGTTATTCCCTCTATTTCTTTGCGGAACCATTGTATCTATTTCACACATTTCTCACAAGCCGAGGAGTGGTCTTCATTGAAACAACTGGTAGAGGTCAGGTCTCCTTACATCTCATCCCCTATGTTCTACCTTCAAGTGGGATATTATGGGCTGGTTTGGTTTGGGTGTGTAAAGTGGAGCGGGTAGCAAGTATTTTGAAGTAATCAATATTCAACTAGCAAGCAATACCTTATTGCTCTCTCTCTCTCTACAAACCTTCTAATTAGTATAAACCACACAAACCAATTAAATGGAATATTTATGGAAATGATGAGAGTTTGTTTATTATGATTTAGATATTTATGGAAGATGATCAGAGTTAATTCATTAGGATCAACGCTATAGATCAGGAAACAATTGAGATATTTTTGAAACCATATATTCATTAGACTTGATGGACGGTTGAAATTGGTTTGTACTAATTGGAGGGTTTGTAACTGGAACTCCTCTCTCTCTCTCTCTATATGTGTGTGTGTGTGTATATATATACATCCAGCTTTTCATTGCAGTTGTTTGAATGGTTGTGTTTTGTGCAGGCACTTCATGAAGCTTTGATGAGGCAAGAAGAGTTGCTTGCTTATATCGACAGCCAAGAGGAGAAAAAATTCAAGGTAAGTTGGTTCTGGTAGTAGGATGGATGTGTGTATATAAATGATTCCTGCTGCTGCTGATTAATAAATACATTTGTGTTTGCAGAAGAAGAAGAAATTTTGCTGGTGAAAGAAAAGATGTTTAACACTATACACAGGATAAGTCCAGCTGTTTTTCATTACTAGTGTATTTGTTACTACTACATGCGTGTGTGTGTGTGTGTGTGTGTGAGGTTTATTCGTTTGAGACGATATGAAAATTTTACGTGATTTGTTTGTTTGAATGATTTCCGAGCATTGTCATGTTTACGCTACATGCTCTCTCTCTCTCACTCAACTGCATCAACCTCCTGAAATTTGGCCTCATCTTGGAATTTCTTACATTACCAACTTTCTATGTGTGTTTTAGTTGTTTTACATATCAACCCATGATAAATTTTCTCTTAACTCATCTCTTCCTAATATCAAATCGATGATGACAAAATCTAAATATGTTTCCTACTCTTATCTTGGATTTTTTGCAATCTGTCATTAGTATATATTAAATACACACAACCTAAGGAATTCCATGGAGTTTACTTTTTAAATCATTTTTCTTTTGTTGTAGTCATCTTTGTTGCAAAAATAACATAGAATACTAACATACGTGAAACTATTAATGCAAGGTTCTTATAAGTAAAAAAGTGTAGTGAGTTTTTATAAGTTGCGTGCTGTTTAGGAGTTCTTTGTATAAAACATGTGGTTCTTACATTAATTTTTATGTGAACCGATATTTTATTAGTTTTTTTTAATATATATATATTTTTTATTTTTATGTATATAGTTTTGATGTTGAAATAATAAATGGGACCTACAAAAAGAGATGGTTATTAGTCACTATATGTAAAGTTTTATAACAATAATATGACAAAAATTAGTAAAAAAGGAGGCTTTAAGTCGCACCTTGATAGATGCTCTTATATGAACATGGAAATGCAATACTATGAACATTCTCTTTTTGTTCAAGCGACAGAGAAAAGACAAGTGGGTATTCATATGTGATTAGTGGTTTTGTTTGGTGTATAACAAGATTTTTCAAAATAGAAAAAGTGAGGATTTTGGACAATTTTATGTTCGAAATAGATTTTTCAGAAATTTCTCAAAAATAGAGAAAAATGAAAGAGAGAGTGTAAATTTCTTCAAATACGAGGAACTCTCCATAAATGATTCCCATGAAAGAAAAAAATATTTTTTATTATATTCCATCAATAAAAAACATTAAAATGGAATGTTTAGAAAAGAAAATAATAATATTCTATTAAATGTATAAAAAAAATTAATAATAAAATCTATAATGTAATCTACAAAATGGAGAATCTGTTAAGAGTTGAATGCAATTATTTTTTTTAAAAATTTGAATTTTGATTCTTATTTTAAAAAATATGTTGAAAATGGTCTAAAAAAACAAACCCCTTACTCCTAAAGTGTTAAAAATGCAAAGAAAAGCACAAGACATGATTTATAGAAGAAATGGTACAAGACAAGTTTAGAATGGGTTTTTTTTTTTTTTTTATTCACAAAGCAAAATGTTAATGTTAGCGCTTGGACATCATTTAAAAGGGAGCAAAATATCAAGATTGCCTTTGCCGCCATTTACACGATTCTCACCTTCCTTCTACAATTACAATTTACCATTCTCCTCTCCTCTGCTTCGCTTGCTTGCTACTTTAGAAACCAAAAATGTTCTTCTTTTTCTTCTTCTTTTCAAGGTAAGATGCAAACTCTTGTTGTTGAGCAAGTGAATCCTCTAGAGACTGCATTACATCACACACAAAAAAAACACCCCCATTTTATATATGAGAGACTCCTATGTATATATTTATATATGTATATATACATAGTCAGGTTCATACGAAAACAGTAACCAAATAAAGGAATAAGAAAACGGTTGAATCACATGTGATTCACGCAGACTTTGGCTGCAAGCTGAGGTTGCGGGTCACGTCGGCCACACATCTTTACATTGACCGCTACTATAAAATCACATGTGATTTTGCACTTGATTTGGTTGTTTTCGTGTTCTTTTATTTAGTTATTGTTCTCGTTTGAATTTTTATCTCTCTCTCTCTCTCTCTCTCTCTATATATATATATATATATATTTAGGTATGATGGTCTTGTCTAGTTGATGTGAGGGAAGGATCATTTTGCTAAGGCTAATTTTGTTACTTGGTTGGGAACCAGTAGCATGCATGTCTGAGTTGATAAAGTACCTTCTTGGTTGCAGAAAGCTCAATCTCCAAAGACTCGATGCGCTTCAGAGCGTTATTAAGCATTTCCTCTTTCTCAGGGGGCATCTCCACCGGTTTGTTGGTGAGGATTATGACTTTCTCCTCCAAGTCCCCCAAACGCTTCATCATCGAGAGATACTCAGCCGTAGAGATGCCAGGCGCTTGCAACTGATAAGGTTCGGGCCTTTGTTTGATTGGCTCTTCATAAATGACATTAGAGTAGTGGCTGGTTTCTGTGAGCTTTTTAGGCATGTTACGGGTCATACGGACCATGGTCATAACTCCCATCATAAAAGTCATCATACCCGTAAATATGTGGTTGCCTAGCCCTTCGCCAGCTGCCTTGTATGCGTCATTCATGTTGTAATAATCTGTGTTGAATAAAATCAAACTAAGTGTTAAACTCTTAAGTGTTTTCCAGGTGCTTATAATATCACCATTGTGATGATAAGTACTCTAGCATTATATCAAGTATAAGGAACTTATTATATCTCTAAGAATAAACCAAACTAATCCAGTAAATCCCGTGCAAAGGTAGAGTCGGGGGAGAGGGGGGGGGGGAGAGGTGGATCTAGAAATCTTTTCAAGTGGTGGCATCATTTGATTATAAGAAACAAAGATATGGATATTTTTTACAAAATCATCATTAGTCTAATGGTTAGTTCTTTGCTTTTTATATGTGAGGTCCTGAATCTTTATTGCAAATTTTTAAAAACATAATAAATTAGAAATTAAAAGCAAAAAACTAAGAAAAATGACACAAACGAGGAGTGGGAGAAAAACCATGCAAACCAGCTGAACCACAGGAAACTTGTGTCATCACTGTAGTTCAAAATATATACGATTGCACATAACAAAATGATACGGTGACACCTCTCATGATAAGTAAGCAGGCTACATTTGAAAGTGTGTGCAAAGAAGCAACAGGTAAGGTTAACAGAAAATGCATCATGGACAAATATGAGGGAAATAGGTTAAAGAAACAAGGAAAACACAGGTCACGCAAAATGGTGGTTATAAACTTTGTTAGTGTAAGAATGATGGCTGTAAATTTTGTACCTTGTGGAAGGGGAACCTTCTGCACTGGTTTAGCATAACTTGCATCAACATTCATTTGGACCGTAGGCATGTAGCCTTTGGGTTCATTTGGGCTCGGGATGCTTTTGTTTGTGATAGCCTGCGAATCCTTTTAAGAGACAATCTAATTAGAAGCCATGAGGCATAAATGGTAAATGTACCAAAAACCAAATGTCCCCGGTAAATCCCACTTGGAGGTGGATTTTTTTGGGGGGAGGGGGAGTGAGATGTCCATAGACCTGTCCTCTACACCAAGGACTAGAAGTCTAGAATGGTTGTTTCCGTGTAGACCTCCAACTTGCAACAAGTGTTTGAGAAAAAGAAGCACACGAGACAAGAAATGAAGATACGCCAAAATGGTAAATCTCATGGAAAATAAAAATGCTTATGACAAGGGCATGAATGTAAGAATGATTTGAACAGTATTCTTTGTAAGTAAGGATTCGCAGGTTAAGAAGGCAAGTCTGGTTTGATAGTTGTTTGGGAGGTTGGGTCTGTAATAGCTTATCATTGATCCCTAATACTACTTTGATCCAAACAAGGGTAAATGCACGATTCAGATCCATGGATTGAACTTAACAAGTCTTTTTATCGGTCATGTATTTAATCAAGTTTCTATAGATACCAGTCTACAAGTATAATAATGTATGTCATAAAGATTTGTACCATACAAAATAGAAGAGCACGTGATGCTTCAAAACGTAAACTACAATAACCCGAATGCTGATCTTTGGAGTAATGCATTTAGGACAGAAGAATTGTACCCAAAAAAATGCTCTTCAACATGACTTTCTATTTGTGAACACAATCTGTTTTCGGGTAACCGTGAGTGTCCGGGCCAGCTTGTGCACATCTCCACTAATCCCATGGGGCCTTGAGGGCCACAAAGATCCCCGGTGGCGTTAAGGACACTCAAATTATTTACCTATGGGGGATCCCCAATGCCTAGCTTTTATTTGTCGGTTGAGTTGGCACTTAAGGTTTGTGTAGTGTGTCCTTCCTCAAAATTAAAATGCAACATAAAAATTATGTCTTTTACAATAAGAGTGAAGGAGGTAACTTACTTCTTCGTGAACTGGGGGAAGTTGAGGATGCTTGATTTGCTCCCTCTGCATTCCAGGAGGTTCATCATCCGCCTTGAAAGAACTACTCATGTTAACAATCTACCAAAGGAAAAAAATAGAAGACACTCTAGTTGGGGGATACTCCCTCCATCCCAGAATAATGTTCAGAGTGAGAAAGGCACACAATTTTAGAAATGTGTAATTATTATACTTTTTAATCAACTAAGTGACAAGTTTACCCTTAAAAATAGAGGGGTTAAATATCTCCATGGGAAAGCTATATGGAACCCGGGGAGAGGGGGTAGCAGAACGTTTTTAGATAAACGACCAACATGTTCCTGAGAGAGAATACCTTGTTAGCAGACTGATCCTCAGAAATAGTTTTCTCATCTGGGATGTTAGTTCTTGCTGAGCATTTGTGTTCACCATTGCGGACCATCTGAAACACCAAATTAGCATTAGATTTTTAACTTGACCTGAGATAAATACAAGATTCCGGAGGGGGAATCCATTAGCAATAGAATATTACCTTCATGATATCTGGATCTTGCCATGGACCCTTGTCAGAGCGCATGCAACCGCCTTTATCAGAACAGGTGCAGGTACCACCCAAAAACTCCGGGAGTTCACTGCCCACGGATAGAGGATATGGAAATAAATAGAAGTGAAGGTGGGTGTTTGAAGACCATGTAGTGTCTGACATATTTGGTATAAGTACCTGGCATCAATGATTTCCAGGAGCTTGCTTTGGAATTTGTTGCCCAAAACCTAGGCAAAGGAGCAAATTGTCAACAGGATTCTATAAACGAAATTATAAACTTTCTTCTAGGCCAAGAAGATGGTGTGGACTTACATTAATCTTAGCTGTAGTCTTTGGGTCAAGGAAGGATTTAACTGTGTTCCACAAAAGCCTAAAGCCAGAGCCGGCGTTGATGATGTACATGCGGCAGAGAGTCTACAGGGGACAGACAGATAACTAGGGGAAGGATTTTGTTTCCTTTTTTGGTGCAAAGAGGAATATGAAGAAATACCCATAACGATAATCTAAGTTGCCAGAAGATAAGTACCTCAGGATAGTTGTTACCATCAATGTTCTGGAGAGACTGAATAAGTTCCCTAGCAGATTTGTTCATGCTTTTCAAGCCCTGGAGTCAAAAACCATGTTATTTATTTGATAGATGATCTGATATGGAAGAACTGAAAGTGACTACAGACTCCCTAATCAAAATATACACTTCAATGCTGTTTTTGCCATTTTGTTAACTTTAGTTGCCGGAAGAGTTGTCATGCATTAGGAAACAGTGTACATGATTCCAGATTTTGCATCATGGAGATGTAAACCAGAAAACTACAAAGTGGTTCCATAATGAAATAATTGTAATCATCTAGAACCGGATGGATACACCTAGCTTAAGAGGTTACTGTAATTTGTAAAGATTAACTCACTGACCACTCCTTGTACATCAAGAATGGTGGTACTCTGATCAACATGCCTTTTAGCCTGAATTGAACAAGCTGGGAACTTATCAATGAAGGTCCTTTCAAACTCCATGACGTGGTACTTAATATAACGCTCGAGGGTTGTCGCTTGCATGAGCTTGGTAGCATCAACCTGACCAAGTCTCTCAATATAGACAGGTCTACCATCCCTATCAACCCCATGGTGTCCTTGAGGATAGTATTGAAGGACGACTTCTTTTTCCTTGAAATCGAAATCCTAAACAAAAAGATGTTGGAGGGAGAAGTAAATGCAAAGTGATGGATTTTACAAACAAAAACAAAGCTCGATAGTAACTATTGTAGCATAGAGCCATTTCAACGTAACACTAATTGATATATATGTTTATAAATACCTCCATGATAGTGTCTGCCCCATACTCCCTCCTCCAGTTGATCATATCAGTCCACATTTTCTTGCTCTTCTCAAGATCATAGCCCCTGGCCTTCAAAAACCTGTGTGATCATGCCAGAAGTTGAGATGATCATTATTGTAAAGTTTAGGTCACCCAATCAGTGTCATTTTGCTAATCATTAAATGTGAAGTTCCCCTCACTTCCTCCACCAGAATATTTATAACATACCTAATTGATTACTACAACAATTTTGATTGTAATGCAATGCTCAATTCTATGACCATTTTACAATTAATTAATATAGAAAGCAATTGACACCAAAAATGATTGCAAGGGATTACAGAGACGTTACCGACCGTAACAACATGTGGTAGTCATCATGCTTTTCTGGTAGTAGGTCTTCCGCTATCAAAGCTTGACGTAAAGCTTCGACCGCCTTCAAATCCTCTGCATCATGTTCATCCTCAACCACAACCGACATGACTTTACTGTTCCTCCTGCTCTTCTTGCTGAAAGAGGTTCTAAACTTGTTTGAGGCATTGATTGCCCTCTGCTTAAGAGAGTTACGCCTAGCCTTCTTGTCCTCCTCAGAGTTATCCGAGTCGATTTTTTCCAAACCTGTTAAAAAGAACTTCCATGAGTGAAAAAGGCTCTGCTATTATGCAAGATGGCGATATGATCATTTTTCCTTGTACATGTGTCTCAAGAAGTTCCAACTAGATTTAGTTTGGTTCAGATAGATACAAATAACTTGAACGAAATCCATCCTTGTAAATGAAATTCTTGATTTACCCCATTTTCAGTTGAAATCAAGTTATGCTATTTGTAAATCATGACAAATATACATCTCATAATGCATCATTTTTAGAAGGCTTATGGTTTCAATAGTTTCATCATCATTTTCCTCCATTCTCTGTTTCATCTTTAATGGCGTCAAAATAACAAAATCCAGATTCACATTGCATTTTCCATGTCGTTGGAGTTGAATAAATCCTGGAATCAAACATATATCCTGAAGAGCATAAAGGAAAGCATTCATGAAAGCACGTACTGGGTCGAACGGGGCGTTCAGGTCCGGACTCACTCATGATTGCAGTTATGAATGTTTGTTAGCAGTGCCGAATCTTAACGCCCTTCTCAAATGCCTACACATTTTAGCAAACACATATCGGAGTCTATTGTATGATCGAATTCAACAAATTATTCATAGCACAAAGTATAACCCCTTCGATGTACGTAGCTGCAAATTTTTACAAATATATTTTCGAATTCTCATAAACCTGAGGTGAAATCGTGATCAACAAATCGACATATATTCCATTAATATTGAAAACATCACGTGAAAACACGATCAGTGGTTTTCTCAATCAAATATCATAATATACATTGTTTTCCGATCATCGGCTAGCTAAAAACATGCAGACGATGCTTGAATCCCAAACCTCATTGCAATTCGAGTGCCGTGGAGCAAAATGCATCGTCGTAATTCAGTCAAAATTAATTTTGTACGATTCCAAATCGTGTATTGCACATAACAACCATACAAATTCATCCAAATTCCATCAAACAAACACATTGCGAAGAAGAAACCCTAAGAAACAAAGTGAAAAAAAAACCTAACATGATGTATAGCAGAAAACGTAGAAGAATGAAATGAAGGAGAAAATGAAGAAATTATTACCGACCAGCGACAAAAAAAATGGCAGGATGCAACGGAGGGAAGAAGGGCAGAAAGTTCTATAACCTCATCAACATGATCATCTCATCCCCCAGACTATATTTTTGGAAACCATGAATGGAGTCTTGAGAGAGAGAAAAGAGAGTTTTGGGAAATGGCAGCCAGCCACCCTGTTTTATGTTATAAATGGTGTCTGTCGGAGCCATCCATGAATATGGTTACGATTGAGAAAATGTCGCTACTCTTCTTTTCAACAAATACACATGCAAACACCTACATATGCCTATCCATACATGGATCGTCATATCTTTCATATATATACATATATATATATACATATATAGGGGCAGGTTCAAATGCGAACCGTCCAATTCTAAAAAACCGTGTAAACCAAATTCGACCAATAAGAAAATTCCATTTGTTTTCAATTAAATTTAAATAATAAGGGTATTTATGACATTTTGTACACATATTTCG